TCTTATTAAACATACCGAAGCATTCAACATGAATTTGAGTAACGGCATGTACAAGCTGGACAATTTTGTAATTAAGAAGATTTGTGATCAGGTGAGAAGGCCGGGTCACTTGACCATCTGACCTGACCACCAACCGTTGTGTGCTATTTAAAGATTAGTAGGGTCATTACCTAATACCTGACCATTGTGGACCTGGTCTCACCCTCCTCTGTATATATACACCTTGATTTGTATTTCTCTCTCTAGTCTGTACTCACCCCTGAAGATGTGAATTACACGAAAGCGCTTGGGAACTTCGTGTTTTCTTCTTTCCTTGTGGTTATCAGCATATACCTAGATCACGCGCACCTACAGTGATTTACTTGCATATATATATATATATATATATATATATATATATATATATATATATATATATATATATATATATATATATATATATATATATATATATATATATATATATATATATATATATATATACTATATATATATATATATATATATATATATATATATATATATATATATATATATATATATATATATATATATATATACTATATATATATATATATATATATATATATATATATATATATATATATATATATATATATATATATATATATATATATATATACACAAACCAAAATTTTGTCAGTACACAGCGCGATCACTAACGTCGGTACTAGAAAATAAGTAATTTGAAAAATATTTTATACGACCATGGCAGTCGTATGTCCGGATTGTAATAAGTCGAGTATGTCGTAAGTCGAGGATTACCTGTAAATGTAAAAGTGATCGGTGATTGGTTACTTAGTTCCCCGTTGCTTAATTTACTGGTTGGGCTTTGTTGCTTCGTATTATACTGTATTATACTATGTACTATAGTAAACAAACGGACAGGTTCACGGGATGGCTGGAGGTGGAGCACCTACTGAATGGCGCCACAAGCAGCAAGCTGGTGTCCACCTTCAGGAGGCTTTCAAACGGTCTGGTATCCCTGAGGTTCTGTCGTGTGACAGAGGGACCAACCTGATGAGTGCCGAATTGTCAAATTTCTTCGAAGACTGATGTGTGACGCCCAGGGTGTTGTCAGTGCACTACCTTAGCAATGAAGTCGGCCTAAAGACTACTGAAGGGCAACATGGGTCCAGGGGGCTCCTTAGACACGGACAAGGCCACGAGGGGCTTGATGTAGTACCTGAACACAACACTGCAGGACTCCAATGCATCCCTGGCACAGCTCTTGATGGGGCGACAGCTGAGGGACTTGGTGCTTGCCGCCAGGCAGCACTACAACATCAGCAAGCACTGGGGAAGGTTGCTGGGGAACAGGGAACGCGCGATGGGGCGCACCAGTGAGAACATATTGCGGAGGTTCAACCTGACCCCCACAACCTCCCGCTACTCGTATTGGGTAAGCGGGTACGAGTCCAGAACCAGGAGTTGGGGCAGTGGGACCGGTCGGGGGTGGTGGTGGAGTCACCGGCCCCCAGACAGTACCTGATCTGCCTGGACGGCAGCGGACGAACCACGATCAGGAATCAACGGCGCACCCGAAGCCACCCCGTCACAATAGCACCCACGCCACCTGCCGAGAGGCCCATGCGAACAAGGCGCGCTCCCAGGCACCTTCGGGATTATGTCTCTTAGACGAGGACTGCCTCGTATTTCACTTATGTGTCAGCATTTTGTCATAATGGATCTATCTTTAGTATGTATCAGTTGTATATTGAAAAGAACCTTCGCTCATTTTGTATGTATTCAGTTTGCAACTTTGTCACTTGTGTATCATTTTGCTGGGTTTTGGACGGGTTCTTTGCAATAGTGGGTATGTGCCGGTTTGGCAACAGTGTATTGGTCCACCAATGGTGGGAGTTAGACAGTTAGTTCCGGCTCAGACACCAGGCTCTGTGGACATGTCTGTCCCGCCTTGTCACCTTCGCTAATAAACAGACTATGGACGCGACCTTTACATATCCCCCGGGTTGGCATCCTAACACATATTTTATGTACAAAAAATTGCTCCTTCTGCTCCTGAACCATCCTGTACGTGATGCCAAGAGTAGATGTGTTCGGCCCGGCAGCCAGCCGACTTGAGAGAGACATGGCTGCTATGCTGTGTGTATGCTGTGACTTTACATTTAGGAAACAGCATGCATACATACATACATACATTCACTTCCCACAGAGAATTATGTTCATATTCATGCTCTTTTTCTTTTTTATAGTTTTGTTTTATATTTCTTTTATTTCTAAGTTACACTGGAGTATTAAAATGATTTTCCCACAACATTTACAGTTTCATTACATGAATCAAGGACAACATGCATAGCCACCTCAAGGCCACAGCTGCCTGGTGATGCGTGAAGATTATGCGGGTGTGTGTGGGACCTACTTTCACATTCAATGGAGCTGAAGTGGATCATAATTACGATATTCTTTCATTATATATAGGAATAAATTTTCATTATACTACATCATTTATTTCACAAATACAGTGAATGTAAGTAAAAAATAAGTCATCAGGTAAATAAAATTCTGTAAATTTTAAGCTTAACCCTGTTCGTAAGTCGGACGTTCGTAAGTCGGGGACCCCTTGTATGTCGTCTGCGTCATCCATTGTTTTATACTAAGTCTGTGTGTACCAAAATAAGATGAATAAATGGTGTTAAAAATCTACTGTAATATAATGTAAATATCACCATAATAAGTAATAAAATTACCCTACAAGTGTTAACTTTCTACCTCGCCAAAATACTACATGTCTGTCACCTCTCACACAACTGAGTGCAAATGCCATTGTTATATGTAAGTACTGTAACTACAGAATTTGCAGAAGAGTCATCTCAATGTGCCAGTGTACCTTATGAATAAACCAAATACTATACAGTAAATAATACTTTAGATGTAAAAGAATAATTAAGAGAGTAGGGTTACTGTATATATTCTGTGTGGGAGAGGGAGTGTATCTGTGAGTAGCAGGCGGATTGGCAACTTACCCTGACTCTCCGGACTACAGTATACCTCACTGCAGATATTTAAATCACACAAGTATTCCAACACAAAAAAAATGGAAGTTTAGAAAACTTTATTCAGTCCTTATGCAATGGAGTGAAAAAAAAATACAAAACTACATTTTGGTGCATAGCTGGGTAGAGGAGGAAGGAAGGAAGGAGTGCTGCCTGTACTGAAGGGACAACTCTCACATGTTCGTCAGCCAGCAGTCCCTATATAATGACAGTATCCAATTTACCATAATTCCCATATTACCTGTACCATGTATTTAGGTTCTTTGGTGCTGGGTTAATGGAACATGTAAAATACTCTAATTAAATTTCCCGCACAAAATCCCACATTCAATTCCTGATGAGCTATTGTGCCATAGTATATTCCTGAAGTCTTGTTTACAGAGTGGTAGCAATGTTGCCAGTGCTCACAATTGTTATCAAGGGGGTTGGTGCTTACCACAAGATCAATGTGCAACACTTAGTAAATATTATTGTAGTGTATGATGGGTCTTCACATGCCCTGGTTTATTCACTAATCAATTGTCTAAGTGCACAAGTAGCCAAATTGAACCACCATGTATCATTCAGTGGTAATTATTGACGTTATGAGTATATCTCCATATCAAATACTACACAGTATGTTATAATGACTCCATTGTAATCTGATTTGTTGAAAGTTATCTCTCCAGGAACACATCATGAGCTTTCAAGGGGTATTACTGTACATGTTGGAATGCATATACACTACTGCGATATCTCCGTTAGCCAGAACAATTGGTGCAGAGCACTTCCGGGAATAAGAGATTTCCGGGTAACGAGACAACTCTCTCAAAGCCGGAAAAAAATCTCTCATCCCCAGAATTTTCCAGGAAACAGAAAAATGTTCTCGGAAGTTCCAGAAATTGCCCATTACATCTTCATTCGAACCCGGAAAAATATCCCTCATTGCCGGAATTTTCCAGGTAACAGAAATTTTTTCTCGGAATTTCCAGAAAATGCACCTGATTTTCATCTCTCAAACCTGGAGAAAAAACCCTCCCCGGAAAATTGTTCCTAAAGCCAAAAAATTTCCGGAAAATTCCGGCTTTGGGAACAATTTTCCGAGAAAACTTCAATTCCATGTTTGAGAGATTCCAGCTAAGGGAGATATTACTGTACTCCCTAATTACATTAATTCTTATGGGCAATAATTCCTTATAATGAAACATTTCACAATAATTTGCATTTCTCTGGAAGGTATCCCCAGCATATGATGAAGACCCATGTATGTATGTATGAAGTGTGATCCACTTCATGTCCACTGAAAGTGAAATCGAGTCCCATACACAACCGCATAACACACGTTACCACAGCTGTGCCTTTAAGATGGTTACAAGGTCACTGATTAATGTAATGAAGCAGTAAAAGTTGTGAGAAAATAATTTCATTGCTCTAATGTGACTTAGAAATAAAGGAGATATAATATACAACTATTAAAAAATTAAGAACTTGAGTGGGAGCAGTATTCTGTAAGGGAGGTTTTAACTTATGTATGGATGCATCACGGTGTTTCCCCATACACGGCCTAGCAGCCACGTGTTTCTCAAGTCAACTGGCTGGCTGAACTCTTCCCAGAGTTCCATCTCTCATATATTTTCAAAGTTGACCGACCTTAAAGACCTTGGTTGTTTAAGCGCAGTAATAACATTAAAACAACAATTTGTCCACTCTCGGTATCGCCAAAAGACTGTGTTGCGATGCAGGCTGGCGGGACCACATGTCTGGTCCATGTCGCTACACAACAATAACAAATGACCAGCAAAGATATTTTTTAGAAGGCATTTGTAAACAAATTAATGAAGACAGTTTTATCAGAGAAGGACTTATGTTGGTTATCAACCCAGCATGATTTCATCATTCGCAATCCTAAAATTTTTAATTTATGTCTATCTTTGGGAGAAAACATAAGTTTACGATAATAATTTTTATTTTCTACTTCTGCAGGAGCAACGACGGGTGATCATGAGTGACTCGGGTATTTGCAATAGCCCAGGGCGTCAAAGAAGATCAACTGAAAGAAGCAGGGAAAATATCCGAGAATATGTTAAGTTACTTGGTAAGAAAGTTTCAGATTCTTCCTCAGGACCAAAATCTCCTCGATCTTTAAAAGAGGGAAAGTCACCCGTGGGTTCCACATCATCAAAACTGCAATCAGATGAAGAGCAGTTGGAAGGAGAGTCATCACCAACACAATTGAGTTCGCCTGGGAGAAAAGAGTTATCATTAAAAGAAAAAGTAATGAAGAAGGCTTCTATATCTCCAGGAAAATCTCCCAAAGCAAAAAGGAAGTTGGAAACAGAAATTATATCTACTTTTGGCCTGGATTTTGTATGTGATGATGAGGTGAATGAAAACTTAGATGATTCAAAAATGGAAAATCAGCCTCTTGATGTTACAGATAAGGTAACCTCTGGTGAGAAGTCAATAATGGCTGATGAAGGAAGTGTTTCATCCTTAGAAAAGCATGAAGAGACAAAACAAAACAGCCAGAATCTGAAAGAAGGTAAGGATGCAATATGTGTTATTTCAAATACTGACCTGACTCAAGGTTTTTGTGGATTTGACACAAAAGTACAGAGCCAGCAGAAAGGCAAAGAAGCAAGTAAGGTTTCCTCCACTATTACCCCAATTAAGAAATCAACACCAAAATCTGAAAAGACAGAAGCAAAAAGTGATTCTCCCCCTGATTTAGTTCTCTTCCTGAAAGAGGGACGTGGTAGAGCACAAAACTGGACTGATCCGCCCACTCTCGATCCAGAAAGTATTGCAACCAGAAGACGTACACGAGTTCCGGAAGATCTAAAAGCATTAGCTTTGAGTAAAATGAAATGTACAATGCAAGACAAGAATAAGAAAGACAGTAAAGAAGTACAAAAAAAGGATGGGAAAAAAGACAAAAAGAACAAAGTAATGGACACACCTGAGTCACTGAAGAGACTTGCGCAACATTACCCAATTAAAGATTCGGGCAAATCATCAAGTACAAATAAACAGGAAAGTCATGAAAGTACAACCAGTAATGAAATAAAAATTTTGAAAAAAGTCATTGCAAAGAACATAACAGAAAGTGAGAGTAAGACAAAATTAAGTGAGTCATCATCTAGTTCTGATGATGGACTAGAAAGCAATATTGTGAAGAGACAAAAAAGAAAGAAGAAAGCCATGTATGATGTGCCCTCAGCAATCATGGTTGATATTACCAAAGATGATCAAGTTCTTCAATCCTCAAAAGAAGCTCAAATTTCAAAGACTAGCTACTTGAATTTAGATAACATTTTGCATCAAGTGTCTGAGAATAAGGCTGAGAGTAGAATACCTGTTGTGATTATGTCAAATTCTGAAAAAGTCGATAGAGAAATTAAAGCCATGCCAAGAAGTAAGAAGAAAGGTGAGTGTGATGGGCAAGCAGACAAAGCTGTGTTAAAGATGGCCCTGTCTCAAAAATCCTCTGGTATTGATATAAAATATATAAAAGGATATTCACTGGTGGAAAGTAGGGCTTCTAGTAAACATAAACAGAAGGACCTGAAGTGTTTTAAAGAAGCTTTTAGAATAACTGAACTGAAACCTGGAGAAAGTGGTCTTGATATAAGCCAACGAAATGTCATTGATGATGTGCTCACTACAAAAGAAAATACTGATAACTGTGATAATAATCCTAGACAGAGTGATGTAAGTGAAGTAAGTCAAATAAATGAAGACGATATTCCTACAAAGCTTCAAGACCCTAGAAATAATGACACTGAAGGAAATAATCCTGTTCCAAAACTTGCAAATAGCAGCAGTGCTACAACTTCTAATGCTGTATTTACATCATCATTGTTAACACCTGGAGTTTCAAGTCCACATAAACCACCTCTTGTGGTGAGTGTTGCAGATTTTCTTTCCTTACGGTTGGCAACTGTGAATTCTGGGGCTTCCACTTTCTCTCCAAGAAAGTTGAATCTGAAACTACCAAGTTTAAAGGGTATGACAGCTGAACAGATCCTGAAGAATACTATAGGCATTGGAAAGGATTCTCTTATTATTAAAGGAGGGATTCTTAACAGTGTACCCAAGACCATTTTGAATACAGGGGATGAGAGGTCACAGACTCCCCAAAATGCTACCAATCAGCAGTGCACTTTATCTTCACAAAGAGGCCCTCTGCTGGACTATACTGATATTGAAACTGAGGAAGTAGTAGTTGGAGGAGAGACTGATGATTCCAGTGGACAGACATTAAATGTGGGTGAACTTTCAACAGAAATTAGTTTGTTGGCTACTGAAGAGCTTGACAGTAGCAGTGAGGATGATAGTAACAAGGCACCTGAGCCTCTTCCTACAGTTAAGAAAGAAATGATGTCCCCTGAAGGGAGAGTTGCTCTTGACCATTCATACTCATCAGGGAGCTTAGAAAAGACAAAGGGGTCTAACAGTGCTCGCAAAAAGTCACCCGTTACATATGAAAAGTCTCTAACTCCTCGGCCAGTTTACAGTAGTGCCAGTCTGGCCAAACGCTCACTTGATATCATGATGCACAATGACAAGATCAACATATTGCGACAGATGAGTCAAATTTTCAACCACGAAAAGCCAGTCCAGCCAGACACAGATAATACAGTGTCAAGTTCTGATGGAGAAGGTGAAGAAGATGTAAAAGAGAATCAAAATAAATCAGATAGTACTACACAAAATAAAACAGGAAAAAAAAGAAAGACATCTTCCAATACTGAGAATAATAATACAAATGTGAGAGAACATTTAATAGAATCTTCTGATAATGATGGAATATTAGAAACAAGTTCAAGTTCTAGAGCAGTTAGTAAGGATTTAACAGAACTTGACACAGCATCATCTTCACTCACTACTTCTAGTAAGGTTGATGCTTCACCGTCCAAGATAATGGTACATTCTGATGAAGACATTGCTAGAGAAGAAAATACCCCTGAACAAAGTGAAAATGTTCCAAAAGATTTTTCCAATTCTTGTGTAGACTCTGAAAATGGAGATGAGACGAACCCTAGTGATATGTGTGTCACACCAAAAAAGAATACGAAGAGAATTGTTACTGCAGACAGTCCATTTCTTGGCTTCCCAGATCCAAGTACTAAGGTGCATCATGTACCGGTTTATTCTGTAGCACCAGATGAAATGATCCACGTTCAGAGCCATGTGGGCCCTGGGGGAGAGGTCGTAGATATAGTGGATGGCTTTGCATTTATTTCATTTAATACACAGGAAGAGATGACTGCCTACACACATAAGCAGAATACAAGAGGTGAGAGAGGTCATCATCCGTGGCTTAAGAAAAAGCGAAAAAAGCGAAAGAAGTTACTGATCAGGAGTAAGAAACATCAGCACCTTGGTAAACATGAAGCACAAGATATGAGTGAAAGCAGTTCACAGTTGTCAAAAGAAATAAGTAGTAATGACACTGGAGCCTTTGCAAGGTGAGTAATTTGATGATATTAATATGGTAATATGTAGTAGTATTTATTTTTATTAGCCAACAGAATCATTTTATATGGTAAATTGCTACAAACAAGTTAGTTTAGGACTTAATCTTTTGAACTATGATGACCTTAAACTATGGAGTATATAAAATTTAATGTATCTCTGTTAGCCGGAATTGAAATTTTCCAAGGGGCACGGATATTGTGTCGGAATTTGTTATAAAATAACTCTGGAAATGCCGAGTTATATAAAATTATCTGGAAAAATATCGGCGCATTTTGCCACATAGGTAACACTCACTGCGCTGCACTACATGCTTGGTCAGTTTGGTGTTTGTTATTATTGTGGTCGGGTGTCTGCTGGCTCACTCCACCCAGTACAGTACATGGACATGGGAAGGGATGGTGCTGTAGCACCCCAATGTTTTTGGTATAAAGTACTATTCATTGCACCACAGAGTATCTAGGGTACCAGAGTTAATATTCAGCACTCCCTTTTTAAAATTTAGTTACTGCAGAACTATCCTAGTAACACCCAACAACCTCCCCCATTCATAACAGGCCACTTTTCCAGTAAATCCAATGTTGTAGATTTTATTTAATTTACAATGCAATTCACTTAATCTGAATTCCAACTACGGTATAGTCTGGGTTTACGCGCCTAATTAAACCCATGGAGGTCCGCGTATAAAGCGAAACTCGTAAATAAAATAACAGAACATATGGGATTAATTGAAATAGAGACTGGGCCGACCGCCAGACTACCCTTTTTTGGGCTATCGCCGACACAATACGTACATTGTAGTAAAATTAACATCTTAATTTTATGATGGTATGCACACACAATTAATATTTAAGAGAAATATCAATAATATTAGGTTTTTTAGCCCTTACGTCAGTAGAAGAGATGGCTGGGCACACGGGGATTGGAGGTTGGTTCCGAGGCAGAGGGGGCAGATTATTGGCCCTCACCTGTCTCTCTATCCACCACAGAGGCTAGCAAGGCCTCCTCGTCAAACCCCTCGAAGTCCACATCCTCACTATCACTGACTTGGGCTGGCTGTGGTGGTTGGCGGGTGAAGAACTCGGTGACGTTTTGTTGACGGCTAGCATTGATGTGGTCGTGATACTGCTGAGCATAGGGATCCAGGCATTTCAACAGATGGTTATTACACACTTCGTAGCGATGATTGACTGGGTCTTTGGCAAGGATGAGCTTCATTTTCTCAGCTAACTCGATGACATCCTTCACATCAGCATGTATTAGTTTCTGCTCTTGTTGTTCTGTTCCACCTCGCTGCTCACTGATGTCATCATCTTCCAATATCTCGTCCGCAGTCACCTCAGGTTGCCTGATTACCTCCAGGATGTCGTTGTTGGTGGTCTCGGAGAAGCCTGCAGCTCTAACACCTTGTGCAGCCTCTCTTGCATTCTCCAATGCCACGCGTCCTGAATCGTTGCCACAGATAGCTGCCCCCATGCCTCCACCAAGAAATCAACAGCCTTCTTCACATTAAACAGCTTCCAGAACTGCTTGACCCGCATTCATGGTCCTCCAAATCTTGTTCGTGTTCCTTGTCCACGCTCTCGGTGCCACTCTCTAAGTTCTGCAGTTAATCCTTGGTGTTGGTAAAGTCATTCAGGAGCCGAAACTTCTTGGCGGAGAAGGCAGCCTTCACGTTGCAAATCAACTCCTGAACCATGGGCTGGATTAACGAGTTAGTGTTAGTGCTCCATTGTTTCCCTTTTCCCTGTGTGATTTTATCGAGAGTTATCTTGTCTACGTTTTCATTGTGGATCTACATGAAATATATATATATATATATATATATATATATATATATATATATATATATATATATATATATATATATATATATATATATATATATATTTATATATTATAATTAATATTTTTAATTATTTTATATATTTTATATTTTATTATTTTATTTTTATATATATATAATATATATTATATTTATTATTAATTTTATTTAATATAATATATAATATATATATATATATATATATATATATATATATATATATATATATGCATATATATATATATATATATATATAATATATATATATATATATATATATATATATATATATATATATATATATATATATATATATATATATATATATATATATATATATATATATATATATATATATATATATATATATATATATATATATATATATATATATATATATATAATCGCATACGCGGTGCCTCGCCAGAGCTGAACTTTCACTTAACGCGGGTTTTTTCCACATATACGCGGTGAGTGTCCGGCTCGAGAGCTATTTTTAGATTCGCCCCACCCCCCACCCGCCACCCTGCCTGACTGCCTGTTTTAGCTCATAAAATTCATACAAATTACCCGGCCAGAATATAATTTACATTGCTGGAATTCTTACAATATGATGATCATTTTGAATATAAACATCATAGATTTTGCATTAGACATACAAATTTTAGATATAATGTTTACTCTGAGTAAATATGTTATTTTTTGTGCAAAATATATGACATTTGTATTCAAAATATTCCTGGGCTTACAAGGAATCCAGCAATGTCAATTATATTATCCTAACTTTAGTTTGAGGTATTATTTATTACTAAAAAGGTAAATATTCTGGTTTTCCCACACATCTGGTAGGGACGGTTGGTGGGGGGTGGGGGGAGGGAGGGACCGACCGACCATCTGTTACAGTGAAGAATATTTTTTTTTTTATTAACTGAAGATATTTGTTTTAGCTCATAAAATTCATACAAATTACCCGGTCAGAATATAATTTACATTGCTGGAATTCTTATAATTTGATGATCATTTTGAATATAAACATCATATATTTTGCATTAGACATACAAATTTTAGATAAAATGTTTTCTCTAGTAAATATGTTATCTTTTGTGCAAAATATATGACATTTATATTCAAAATATTCCTGGTCTTACAAGGAATCCAGCAATGTCAATTATATTATCCTAACTTTAATCTGAGGTATTATTTAATACTAAATGTTAAAATTTAGTTTTTTCACCCAACATCTCTTGAAGGGAGGATTGGTAGGGGGTGGGGGGGAGGGTTGGGACTGACCAAGCGGTTGGAAGAGGGGGGAGGCAAGGTGGGGTACTTTGATTGACAGATAGTGTCGTGAAGAATATTTTTTTTTTATTAACTGAAGATATTTGTTTTAGCTCATAAAATTCATACAAATTACCCGGCCAGAATATAATTTACATTGCTGGAACTCTTACAATTTGGTGATCATTTTGAATATAAACATCATAGATTTTGCATTAGACATACAAATTTTAGATATAATGTTTACTCTGAGTAAATATGTTATCTTTTGTGCAAAATCTATGACATTTATATTCAAAATATTCCTGGTCTTACAAGGAATCCAGCAATGTCAATTGTATTATCCTAACTTTAGTTTGAGGTATTATTTATTAAAATTTAGTGGTTTTCCCCCAAAAATTTCTCAGAGAGGGAAGTGCCAGCAGTGTAGTGTGAGAAGAGGGGGAGGGAGTTGAGTCCATTATTTGAATGTACATTAACTTGGCGACTGTATTTCTCTATTTCTCTTAAGTATTAATTGTGTGCATGTACCATCATAAAATTAAGATGTTATTTTTACTAGAACATAGGTATTACGTCGGAAAAAGAAACGCGTAAAGTGAACAACATAACATATGGGATTAATTGAAATAGAGACCGGGCCGATTCCCAAACTCCACTTTTTCAGACACAATACCTACGTTGTAGTAAAAATAACTTCTTAATTTTATGATGGTATGCACACAATTAATAATTAAGAGAAATATCAATAATATTTGGTTTTTTAACACTTACATTAGTAGAAAAGATGGCTGGGCACACGGGGATAGGGGGTTGGTTCCGAGGCAGAGGGCAGATTATTGGCCCTCACCTGTATCAATTGTATCACTATCCACCACAGAGGCTTGCAGGGCCTCTTTGTCAAACCCCTCAAAGTCCATATAAGTCCATATCCTCACTATAATTATCACTATCACTGACTTGGGCCGGCTGTGGTGGGTGGCGGGTGAAGAACTCGGTAATGTTTTGATGACTGGGCGACCTTGTGCGCACCCTGCTCGTGCCTCTCTCCGCGTAAAGGGGTACACGCACCGCGGAATGTGAGCATTCCGGTTTCGGCAGGGTACCGCGTAAACTTGGAAACGCGGAATGTGGGACCGCGTAAAGCGAGGGTTGACTGTATATATACTGTAAACTCATATACAGTACACGTATGTGTACATGTAATTATTAAATTTGTAAAAGTAACATACAGTATACCAGCACTGCAGGCGAAGAATGAAGCATCATACTGTAGTAGGTTACACAGAGACTTGGTAGGTGACACAGGTGGCCAGATATGCCGAGATTTTCCCAGATAATTTTATATATCGGCATTTCCCGAGTTATACTATAATACATTCTGAGACCATATCCATGCCGAGTTATATGAAATTCCGAGTTATCAAATGTCAAGTTATTGAGGGTTTACTGTATATACAGTACATTATATTCCCTTCAATATTGTCTTTTCTTATTTATATGAATATTATTTTTTCAGTAATGACTTAGACACTTACCTGGATCATAATTCTCATCTGAACATCAGCTATACAATTCCAAAGTGCAAGTGAGTATTGAACTGTACTTCATATACTGTATATTCATTATATTATAATTTTTAAGATAACTTAGTAAGAGCATGTTGAGTGTAAGAGCATTAAAATGTTTATATTAGCATGTGAAGGTCACACATGAATCACTGGTGTTCTTGAGAATGTCAGGAATGGCATTGTAAATAATAAATAAGAGTAAAAGCTGACAATGTTAAAGACTGAAAACTTAGAGCAGAGGTCTTTATAAAATAGTTGGAAGAAGAATTTAGTTGTGGTGTTGACAAGGTTGGTGATGGTGTATGAAATTGAAATATGGTGTTAAGCCGCCATAGAGTTATGAAGGTTTAGACAAAAATGCAGGAAGAAGTAACCATTGTATGACCCCTATCCCATCAGCATTATCCCCATGCCAGGGCTTTCTAAAACTTTTATCTCAGGAGATATTTTTCAAGAATGGCTAAGTCTTGGAGCTAAGATTTGTATTTCATTAACAGTCATATGTTTAGGGTGATAAAATTACCAGGTGGATGTTAATATTAACAGCACCCCTCCCAGCTATCCAATAGTCTTGTAGAGTATGTTGATACAAACAATTAGTGATAGTTTCACCCATGAAAGCAGTTTGTATTTTAACTTAACCATGTGTTTCAAGTGCTTTTTTGTTGTGCAGTGAATAACACTTAGTAAATGGAGATGATCAATGGCTAAAGATTCTTTGTGTGGCAATCCACCTGAGGCAAACAACATTGACACAGATAGATTGATAGTGTGCAAAAGGGGATAAAAGTACAGTAATTCACAAAGTTTTTATAAATTAGTTACTTAGTTACTTACCTTCAGTGTGTAGATGTCCTGTTTATGCATATTTTTATTCACCTTATTGAATAATAAATTAAGATTTTTCATTTATCTGTTTGAATTGGAGAATGCAAAATAAGTTATGTTTATATCTCCAGAGCCACTGAAGAGGGAGTCACAAGACTTGATGATGATGGAATTCCCCAAGATAATAAGACACTGCAAATTCCTGCGCAGGTTCCTGAATCAATCTTAATGGAGTCCCACTCTAGTGAGTCATTTGACACAAGCAACGTACAAGCCTCAAATGGAGATACTGTATCCGACTCTGTACACCAATATGAAGAAGTGAATGCTATTGATATACTCTATCCTAAAGAAAAATATAAATACTATTATAATAAAGAGTTGTGTAAGGAGACAAAAGCAGACGGCTCCAACGTGTTTGTACGCCGAGCAGGAAAGCTTGTTCCTTTAACGAGTGTCTTTAAGAGCCATAAGCCTCCTGTAGGTGAGTCTAGTAACAAGAAAACTGTAGAACTAGTTTATATATATGATAAAGGCAAGTTACTAACACTTGGAGGATCATTAACAAAGATAAATCCCTCTAATTCTGACTCTGTAAGAGCTCGTGTCGTCCTGCCAGTTGGGATACCACCGATCTTAAAAGGAGAGATTGTGCAAACCAGAGCAAAGGAGGTACAAGCCGTAGAGATTAATGAAGATATGGCAAAGTTTGCACTCTCAGCATTGCAGAGCCCCAACCCAAGAGAAGAACGATTAATAAAAGCTTGCAATAATGATGAAACTCCAGTAGTGGCAGAAGCTGATGTAAGTGTCCCTCAAGATAAGAATGATAAAACTGATTGTGCAGAGAAATGTGAAGAAAAGGAACCAAATGCAAAAGTACCTGAAAATGTCTTGCTTGTACCAACAAAACGGAATATTTTAGACATCATCGCTGCTAAGCTTGCTATGTCCGATGAAGAAAGTGATGAAAAGGAGGAGGAAAAGACACTAAATACTACTGAAAAGGCAGAAAATATAGCTGAGAAAGTAAAAAATTCTGAGGAAAAAGATGGAAAAGAAAATAACAGTGAAAATACAACAACGGTAGGGGATAAAGAAACAAAAAAAGATATGGAGACTAAAAGTACAGTAGAATGTGTAATGACTGATGAAAAACTTGAGATGAAGAAAGAAGACTTGGTTGTAGAGTCACCAACACAAAAGATCGTAGACCCAGAAGAGCAGCAGATTGATGAAAAATGCAAACCTGAAACAGAAGATAAAGATGTGACAGCCTTAAACAATAGTAAAGATGAAAATAAAGTGAAAGATGAAGCCAGTGAAGATGGAGTTACTGAAGAAACTACAAATAAGAATACAGATGTTGACACAAAGGAACTCAATAAGGTAACAGGTGAACTTGCAATTAAGGATGAAAAGGATCAAATCAAAGACTTAGTAGAAACCGAGAAAGAATTGAAAGAAAATAATTCCATGGAAACCACAGATAAAGCAGACACCAAGGAAGTTGCAGAAGAATTGAAAAACATTTCATCTAATGAAGATGACTTTGAAAATGTACCTTGTGCTTTGAAGACTGAAAGTGAAGGTAATTCTTCATCATCACAAGAAGAAATTAAAGAAGAAAATGCAGACAAAAAGCAGGTGACTTCAGTTCCTGAAGTGGCAGAAACTAACAAGACTGAGGACATAATTGCTCAGAAAGCTGGAGGGAAATCCAGAGTTTTTAAGAAGAACATGTACAGATTCCCTTCATTGTCCAGAGAGATGAAACGACTTAACATGAACTTCGTAAAATATGTTCCACAAGAGGTAAGTAGATCGAGTGATTGATTGATTATAATATACACTGTATGCAGTGAAATCCAAAATTTACAGTTTCCTGTAAATGCCAATTTTACAGAGTGATAGTGACTGGCTGGTAAGATTTTTATATATGTTTTTTATTTTATTGTATGGTAAATATCACGGCACCTTTACAGTAAACATAAATTTTGCTTAGGTACAGGTATTCTTTAATACTGTACTTTACGTTTTAGTAATACTGTATTTGGTTTGATCCCCTGACATAGGACAGTCCTGTTGATAAAATATGTATTAAATTGTGGAAATGAAAGAAGTGTGTCTCTGAAAAGTGAGCAGGGTTTTCTCTGGGGAAGAGAATGGGAAATTAAAAATTGGTAAATAAAGAGTATGCTAAAGATAAAGGTGGTAAGATGGAGAGAGTAAGACCACAGGATATAGAAGGATGGGGTGAAGGAAGTATAAGTAGTAAGAGGTGAACACCAAAGAAGCAGCATAGCATGTGATTGATAGAAGTGCATTGCATCAGGTGGTTCATGGGAATAATATAGCAATCGAAATAAATGAATGAATGTGAATGAGAATCTGTTTTTTGCTCTTCCATCCATACTGTAACATAGCAGGATGAGGCTTACAAGACTAAGAAACAAGAAATTTAGTTTTTCCATTCTGTTACAGTACAGTACTGTATTTTTTTTAGCACACACCAGAAGAAGAAATGACAAAGGAAAGTGGACCTAAGGAAGATTGTAACAATGAACATTGTAAACTCGGCTGTGTCTGCGACTCTTTGACTTGTCGACGAAGAAGTAAGATTTCTGTCTCTCTCCCTTTTTATCCTTCGATGTATAAATTATTCATATTGTATAGCACCTATATCCACATGTTTGTGTGTGCACAGCAAAATACACTCTCTCAGGCCTTTTCCTGTTTAATGCAAGGTGGCTGAAATCAAGACTGAATAAGCACATTATTCTCTCATCACACATAGGTAATCTGTGCTGCTTGGCATTTCCTTCCCCTGCTAGCACCTTTACATACCTATTAAGCTTCCTGACAAGTATGTAGTCATTTTGGGTTTTTGTGCCACCAGATTCATACAAGATCAGCTTAATCAACCCCTTTTAATAACATTTTGCATATGAACATGTCCAGAGCATCCCCCAAACTCAAGTACTGTATTCTTTTGTCTTCTGTATTCATTATTCCAAAGTCTTTTCCACCATGCATTCCTTCATAACCCAATGTGTGTTCAACAACATGGCTGTTTAGTAACCACCCAGCACCAGTAATGCAATCAAGCCAACACCACAAACGAGACCATTCGCAATTTTAGCCTTTGTAAATTACCTATAGATTAGCCTCCCCTCACTCCCATGTAGTTTTGGAGTGGTTAAACATAGCTAAAATTATGAAGGGTCTCGTTCGTGGTCCTGATCTCGACTATATCACTGCCCAGTACTATACTTTCCCATTCACCAAGCTCTGGTGCTATATTCAGTGACTCATTCTAGAAGTTGTCCTATTTCTTCTTTACTTTGCCCAACTTGTGGGATATGTGTAGATAAGTTGGCAGATTCTTCTCTACTTGTAACCTTTTTCACTCGGTTACCATCCAGAATCATTACCTATGCAATAGGTGCATAAATTCAGCATATTTCTTACTTATAACTATCATTTAAGCCATATATTATTGAAAGAACTAACATTCATAGGACAAATATTTTAGGAATGACTCTGTTTTCTCTGTTTAGCTTACTCTGGGATAATCTCTGCCTTCAGTTATGGATCACTGTGGTCGGATGGAGTGTATGTTTGAATGCACTTGCCGTGATGAGAATTGGAAACATTCAGTATCAGGCACAGGAAGAACTATGAATGCTGTTTCCATTTTCAACCTTGATCGTGAGCAGAATGAAGGTCTTGCTGTACGAGAGAAGGTTTGTATACAGTACCATGTATTGCTATTGTACTATCACTAATTCCAATATTATCAATTAATTTTATTGGAATTAGTTAATTTTACCGCCACACCACCCCGTTACGGTAAGTACTGTATTGCAGTGTCCCTCAGGACTCATTTAGTTTAAAACTCGGGTTGAAATACGACGACACTCTTCAAGGGAAGATGTTGTTTAATAATAAGGGCGTCAATGTCTTTGGGAATCTGGAACTCTCAATTATTGAATTATCAAGTATTTTTTAACCAGGTCCTGTACCCTTTGCTCCTTACCCTTACTTCTCTCACCTTCTTGAAATCATGAAGCATTTCTGTATTGAAGTTCCCGAGGTAAAGCATGGGTCAGTATGGTGGTTTACAGGTGGCAAGCAGAATTTCTACACAAAATTCACACACTTCCTAAAAAAAAAAATGCACTACCAGAACAATGGAGAGAGAGTAAAATCATATGAAAATTGAGTGTAATAAGCATGCTGAGAGTGGCATGGTTCTGAAAATAAGAAAAGTATGATTTGTCATTATGACACAAAGAAAGAACCAGCCAAATTAAACCTAATCTATCCTATTGATCTTAATTAGTTTTTGACTGTAAAGAGCTACAAAAATATAATTACAGTTAGGTCCATTTCATTTGTTTATTTTCTTGCACATTCTGTATGAAAGTTTGCCTGTAATAGAGTAAATAAAAAAAAAATTATGTATGTCTACTTGCTGGTCAGTTTTCTTCTGCTGGTGAATTTTACCGCAATCATGACCCCTAAGAGGAAAATTAGTGGCTGTGCGAGTGGCATATCGAACTCTGAATTTGCACATCAGTTATCTTAGTATAAAAAAGGGGTTATACATATATACTGTACAGTATACTGAGGGACCCGAATATACGCTAATTTTGCACTTATGCGGGATCCCAGTACCGTAACTTCCGCATACTCCGAGATCCTACTGTAGTGTACTTTGGATTATCTGAACATGAGGCATTCCAGCTTATTTCACCTGATGATTAAACAACTTAACCTAACCTTTCCCCCCCCCCCTCAGATTGCAGTAGGATGTTTAATCATCAGGTGAAATTAGCTGGGGTATATAAATTTTAAGTGAATTTGTACTGTATTTAAAATGAATTAATTATGTTACAGACTTACAAGTTAGCTATTGTATAACTTGTCAGATCTAGGAGTTAGTTTAGTGATGGGTTTGTTTATATTTATTTTTTATTTTATTTTATATTTTTTTCTACAAGGATTTCAAGAGAACTGTAATCCAGACTGGCTCCGAGGTAATATTGGTTGGAGCTGAAAGGAAGAAGAGAGAGCGTAAGATCCCGGGGCGGTACCGAGACTCTGCTATGTGGACAGGAACAGATTATGTTGCTGTGAATAGTCCCAATGCAAGTGAACCTGAACTTACCACACTTCCAGGTAAATACATTTGTCGCTGCTACATAATCCATGATCTTTTGCATGATTCACATTTTTATAAGAAATGCTGTGTGGAGTAACATGAAGTGTTGCTTACATGACTGATAGTGCTTTAAATTTTTATATTTGAGAATTCATTGTGTTACAGATATAAGTGAGTGATACAGTATGTCATATTCTTTCAGAATTGCCAAGTATCCCATTAGCTGAAGCCTCAAGGTATATAAAGAGCTTCAGGTTGAATGTTCCGTGGTATGATATCAAAGGTATCAGCATCTGGTGCATGGACCACTCTTGTTATGACTGCCGGTGTCTCAAGGACCCCAGCTTCAGTGACTGTTCCAAGGAGGAAACTCATAAGAAGAATGAAATACTCACCAGTAATGACCATTTTCCCAATACATCCAGTGCATTAGATGCTTTTGAGGAGGCTTTGAGGGAAAAAACTGGTGAAGGTTTGATATCACCACAAGAATCTGAAGTAGTTCATGTGATTCCCCAGAAAAAAGCTTGCTGTACTATTGTTAATGTTATTGTGAACAATGCTGAAGCAAGGCGCAGATACAGCTGGAAATTAAAAGATTGGTATCACACAGTTGAAGAACATTGTGCAAGAACAACTGGCTATTCAAAACAAACAGTCTCTGAGGAAACTAAACATTTAACACTTGTTGGTGTTGCTGCTAGAGAAATTACCCCAGAACAAATGGTGGAAACTGTTGTTAAATCTCTCAGACAACCAAAGGAGAAACAGCCACTTCTTCAAAATGGGGGAAATTTTGTATCTATTATGGAGGATTCACATATTTTACAAAATGCTTTGGGAGTTACCTCTGAACACGGTGAACTAAAAACTGACAAGCCAAAGACTGTTCAAGGAACAGTGCCCCTTGTGGACCTAACTGTATCAAGTAACGTTGATGGTAAGGACTCTTCACCTGTATTGGGTAGAATTCTCAAACAGCCAAAAACAAAGTCTAAAAAAGCAAATTTTGATTCTTCAAAAGACATGAAAATACTTGAAAAACGAAGAATAAGTGGGTCATTTGATATTTCATCAGTTAGTCCATCTGCCAAGAGGTCACGCCAAGAGGATATTATTCGTCAACCAGCTTTGTCTCTAGGCTCATTGTCTTCATCTGTTGAGAGTGTTTGTCAAGATGAAAATAAGGCTGCCTTGACAACTGAAAGGGAATGTGAAGGAGTCGCAATTCTTGATGGAAAGAGGCGATTGAAAAGACCACTGTCACTACTGGAGATGATGGTTGCAGAAGAGAGGAGAGGCGAACTTGAACTGGACCTTTCTAACAACTTACCAGGAAATGCATTACTTGTTGCTGAGGCTCGCTTCAGAAAATTGATTAATATGAACATTATTGGGGTCATTGGGATCAATAAAGCTGGAAGGTAAGCCATAATAGTAATTATGTAAACTATATACCCTGTATACAGTATATTTATTTTTAAATTTTGGATCTAAAGCTATGATTTTAAATTATCTTGAAGATCATAGTGTTTGTGAATCATCCAAAAGTATAATGTTAATATCCTCCTAGTAGAAGAATGAGTTCACCAGCCTTGTAAAGCTTTAATTTTGATTCTACACTGCTGTGAGATGACCTACTTTTAAGCAAAATGAGATGACTGTATATGCTCTTGTTACTTGTAATTATATTACCTTGGGTATTTTTTTCTCACAGATGTATCATTGGTACTGTTGACTCCTTAGAATCCCTGAGCATGATGCAACGAATCCATAACATGATCAGCAATAGCACCCTTGATGTTGGACCTAATATGCGAGAAATATTTTTCCCCCCACCATATGTTGGAACAAGACCAAGGTAAGCATGGCACATATTTTGGCTTTACTTACCCTACATATAACATTTATGGATTTGGAGAGTCTTTACAGTAAGAAAGGCTTGAGAATTTATGGAATTTGTAAATAGCTTGCAGATTGGGGAAAGCTGTTAAAGTGATTTAGGTTAAGAAATTACTGTTAAAGTTACAGTATTGGAAAATGAGAGTGCAATGTGTAGAGGAGTAAGACAAAGGAATACTTTATCATAAGGTATGGAAGAAACAGATACAGGAGAAGTATACCCTGATTTATGATAGGGTTGCGTTCCTGAACCCTCTAATGTAAATCGTGAGCCTTTTAATGTGGTTTTCAATGGGATATGTTCCTGACTTACCTAACAGACATGTAACACTGTAAAAAAAACAATCCTATACAGTAGAACATCGATTTAAGATTATTGATTTAAAACAACACCCACAATTAAGGACAATCTTTAAATTTAAGGCGAATCTTTCCTATTTTGCGCAAGTCGATCTGGCGCATCTTATTTAAAATTTTGCGCCTAATGCTTCTCTGGGCACGCTGCACTGTCCTAAGGGCAAAACTGTACTGTACAAGTACTCAAAATAATGTACTAAATGATTATTAAAATTTTTGTCTAGTGCAAACTATAGCATGTTTATATTCAAATTAATCACTATCTTATAAGAATTCCAGCAATGTAAGTTATACTGTACAGAAGATTCTCCCTGGTCACTTCTGTGATATTTTATAAGCAAAAATATAAACTCAAGCTAAAGGATATAAATAAACAAATAAATACTTCACTAGACCTTTGGTGCCAACTGTCACATTTGTCACTGTCACTTCCCTCCCCTCCCCTCCCCCCCCCCCCATCTTCTCAGCCAGGGTTTGGTGTTTTAAGCTTAAAGTTTTTATCTTATATAATGTCACAGACTAAAGTTAGGAGAATATAATTTGCATTGCTGGAATCCTTGCAAGACATTGAATAATTTGAATATAAACGTCATATATTTTGCACAAGAGATAACAATTTTAGTACATTAGTGTTGTACATTTTAATAATGTATACAAGTTTTTCAACTGTATTTTTGGGTAGATTTACATAAATTTCTAATGTTATTTTTATTCATTTACATGCACACACCATACTAAAAGAAATGTAAAAGAGATAAATGACCTAAGTGCAAACCTGTACTGTACATTTACTAAATGATTAGGGTACTAAAATTTTAATGTCTTGTGCAAATTATAGCTTGTTTATATTCAATTTAATCACTATCTTACAAGAATCCCAGCATGTAAATTATATTCTCCCAAGTTGTTTCAGTGGCATTTTATAAGAGAGAAGCTTAGTCACTCTTAAGGACTGATAAATAAACACACAATAGACCTTGGGCGCCAACTGTCAAACATATCACCTCACCTCCCCCTCCCTCCCTCTCCCCCATCTCCCCAGCCAGGGTTTTAGGCTTACAGTTTTAATCCTTTATAATATCACAGACTAAAATTAGGAGAATATAATTTGTATTGCTGGAATCCTTGCAAGACAGCGAATAATTTTAATATAAACATCATATATTTTGCACAAGAAATAAAATTTTTTGTTCTTTGTGTGTCTAATGCGAGCCATGGAATGTTTATATTCAAATTAATCACTATCTTATAAGAATTCCAGCAATGTTAATTATATTCTCCCATGTCAGTTCAGTGACATTTTATAAAAGAAAAACTTAGTCACTCTTAAGGACAGATAAATAAATAAGCACTAGACCTTGGTATCAACTGTCAGACATGTCACCTCGCTTCCCCCCCCCCCATCTTCCCAGCCAGTAAACAGACCATTTCACATCCCTTAATTTTAGCTTTGTTTGTTTTAACATAATACTGGTTGTACCTCTCTAGTCCGGCATTCTGTGGTCCGGAAACTCCCGTGGTCCAGAACGATTTTAGTTTGTCCAATAGGTAGATAGGCAACTTTTTTTTTTTCTTTATTTTTTACTTATCTGAATTAATATTGTTATTACAGGAGTATTAAATTTTTGCCCCTCAGGCCCCAATGTGGGTCAGTGACCTAGGCCCGGGTGGGCTAATCCCCGTAAAAAAAAAAGCAACAACAAAGCCGCAGGAAATTAAGATTTGTTTACATCCGGCAGTTCGGCTGCTCTCTCTCTCTCTCTGCTTGTCTATACAGAGCACAACATTTAACCCTTCAATATATATGAGCAGTAAATAAGTGTTGCTTTCATATTCTTATGTAGAGTAATGACGATATGTTTTCACATGTGCGCACTTACATACGCGCAGTCTCACTTTTTTTTACCATTAATGGTTAGCTACTTATATTGTTCCAATCTAGATACTGGAATCAGCAGTGACATAAGCAAGTTTGCGGATGACACCAAAATAGGGCGGCAGATTAATTCAGGGCAGGATGCAAATGCATTACAGGAGGATCTAAATAAACTGCAGGGGTGGTCTGAAAAATGGCAAATGAAATTCAACACCAGCAAGTGCAGCGTACTTAATATTGGAAGAACAAATACTGTCAATGTATACAGCCTAAACAACATCAACCTAGAGAAGTCGACTTGTGAAAGAGACCTAGGGGTACTTGTAAGCCCGGACCTACGGCCTAGAAAACAGTGCGTTAATGTTCGAAATAAGGCAAACAGAGTATTGGGTTTTATATCTAGAAGTGTAAGTAATAAGAGTGCAGAGGTCTTATTGCCACTATATCTTGCGCTAGTCAGGCCGCACCTCGATTATGCTGTTCAATTCTGGGTTTGGGTATATGTAATTATAGTATCAAATAATAGGGAAGAAATAACGGTGGATACTGTAGGTAAATAATAGACACAATATACAAATACAATATTTATTCAGACATTAAAATGGAGGTAGGAGAAAGTTATATATACCAAAAGTCAAACTCCTGGTACCAGGCCCTCAGGCTCAAAATACTCACACCACAACTGGGTGGACATACACAATAACACACAAACTCTACAGTAACTTAGCACCATTAAAACCAGGGCAACTGCCACTACAGCACTCAATCGTCGGGAGTAATACTCAAACGACCGCCATGGGGTCTCGCCACCATGGAGCACTTTCCAACGAACTCTGAAAATTCCAGTGGAATAACACAACCACACAAATAGCCCTACTGAGCTAGACACTCATCCACCAATGATGGGGGCTGGTAGTTGTTTGTGGCTTGGTGATCCGCGGTCACCTCGTGGGCTGAGCGTTAGGGTCAGGCTGGTCAGCTATGGGGCCCATAGGTTGTACTGAAGCTTCTGACGGTCGGGCCTCACGAAGATAACTGATCCTACTGGACCTCAGACATCTCTCCAGACTAGTGGATGCAACATCCACGCTACAGACACGGCCTAGGCTGCGTTAGGGACCTGTGTGGGTGAGGGGACGAGCACTTACTAACTGGTGATAACGACATCACGTTTCAAAGGGACGTTAAGGACGTAAATATTACTTCACTCAAAGCACATCAACTATGCTACTGTACACTTGCACAATCAACTATTAATTGGGTCAAATCACTTAAAGAATGGCGAATTACAACACGGAGTGGAATGACCTACCTGTTTGGGTGAGGGGACGAGCACTTACTAACCGTTGAAATGCCCGCCGCACCCTCACTCAAACTAGGTCAGGGATTCCACCTACTTCTATTTAACTGAATTACTTTACTGTACACTCTGACGTTGAAACTGAGACTACGAACTCAGTTTCATTCCCTACTATTATCTTCACAAACAATGCTCTTACTGAGCTATCAAAAGTAAGAATTAAATTGATTACAAAGGGTTGGATGGTGACAGGTCCCAACATACAGCGTCTTGCTACACAACCCGCGGAGTAGATTCAAAGTTCCCTTCAGACAAAGACGGCATCTCGATGACGTCATCGAGGAAACAGAGAAAACGGAGGACGTTTCCACTGGGGGACTCCGGAGGTTTTGCGGACGTTTAAGCGTAATATGAATCCTTAGGGTTTTCAGGTTAGCCGCCATTACGATCATGACAAGGCATCAAGCACATGTTTATAATGCCGCAGTTGCACAGATGAAACGCGTTAACGCTCCACCACCGTTCAGTGCTTCTGTTAGTTGGTTGGCTGCTTTTAAGAAGAGATATGAAATCAAGTTTGCCCACTACCGTGGGGAGAGTGCTTTGGCTGCTATCGTAGCCACAGAAAAGTATCTACCTATCTTTCCAGCTCTTGTGAAAGAGGGTGGTTACTTCCGAGACCAGATCTCCAATTGTGACGAAACTGGCATTTTCTGGAAGTGCTCACCTAAGACCACTTTCATTGCTAAGGATGAAAAACAGGCAAGGGGTGTAAAGATTTCAAAGGACAGGATTACAGTTTTTTTCACAGCTAATGCAAGTGGAAATTTCGTGATGAAACCCCTGGTTCACCGTGCTGCCCATCCTAGAGCCTCCTGTAATGCCAATATGTCGCAGATCAATGTTTATTGGACACCTAATAAGAAAGTTTGGGTTAAACGTCTTTATGCACCAGTTGGTTTGACAAGCACTTTGTTCCTGATGCCGAACAGTACTGCCGGAGGAAGAACATTGACTTCAATGTGATCCTGGTGATGGATAATGCTCCTGGACACTCTTAAGTTTCTAATTGGATGCCACCCTAATGTACAAGTTATCTTCCTTCATCCTAACACCAAATCACTTTTGCAGCCACTTGACCATGAATTCATCATTAACATTAAACTGTTTATCATCAGCCACTCTATAAAGACTTTCATCAGTAGACAGACTCATTAGTTGAGTTACAACAAATTGGGGCAGAACTCTCTGACAGTGACCAGGCTCTACCAGCACCAGCTAACCAGGAGAAGAAGGGAGGGGGTAGAGATGGTAGACGACCCGCCTCCTAGTACCTCACACGCACCACCCCGCAACCGTGAAGTTTTACCAGTTTGTGAATTTTGGAAGAAATATTATATTAAAAATGCAGTGGACAGAATTGTTGAGGTGTGGTGTAAGATTATGTTGCAACAGTGCTACACGCATGGAAGCCTCTGTTTGCTAACCCCGAGGTAAGTGGGGCAGAGCAGACCAAGGCAAGCAGGGAGAGACAGTCTGTGGCAGCAACACTAATTGACATGGAGGAGGCAGCACGGTCAGTTCCAGCACTGGGATTTTGGGATGTTCAAGTTGAGGATTTGCAAGAAATCATTGGTCACCACCAGCAGCAACTGAAAATTGAAGAAATGTTGGAGGAGGATGAAGACCAACAAGAACAGCAACCACCAGCTGACTGAGGTGCTCACAAGCACTGCACATTTCAGTGAACAGCTACAAGAATACAATACCAGGCTTCATCCTTAGAACCTTATCTGCCCTGTCCTTGATAAGGTTATGGAGGAATATAAGGCCTTGTACATGTCTCATGTTAATGCTCGTCAGCAGGCCCTTATTACTCGGTACGTGCGCAAGGCGCAAACTGTTAATGCTTTGGCAGACACTACTTTAGGAGATGATGATAGCACCACTGATGATGATACTGTATTGAAATGTTGGGTGACTTACTGGCAGAAGAGCTGCCTCAAGACTTTGTGGGATTTGATGCTGAGGTTAGAGGGGGTGTAGAGGAGGGAGCAGGGAGGAAGCAGTAACCAGCCCTCCTTACCTCAGAACCCATCAACCAGCCCCGTCGAGCATTTCACTGACTCTACAGTGGTCCCTCGGTTAACGAGCACAATTCGTTCCAGCAGGTTGCTCGTTAACCGAAAAACTCGTTAACCAAAACCATTGTTTCAATGGGTTTTTGGGTAATTGGTTCCAGCTCACCGAAAATTGCCTAAATTCAACAAAAAAGGTAGAAAAGTACACTTACTTTGAGGTGTGTATGTAGAAGGCTCCTGGATGATGATGATGATGATGATGGGAATTAGAATGGGGGTGAGAGGAGAAGAGAAGGCATTGGGGTGGAAGAGAAGTCACCCCATGGCACCATTTCACCCATAAAATTTTAGTTCTCTTGGTGTAATTCAAGATTATTTTCTTTAAATCAACACTGCACTGCATTATATATTGTCAATATGTAAAATAAATTTCAAAATGACCAATAATTTGCTTGGAAACACAGAAAAAAGCATTTAGTTGAAGAGAGTCTCAAGCAAGATGTTACCTCCACTGAAAACAGAGAGAGACTAACGCCTGTTTGGTGTGTTAACAGGCTGGATGGCATGCCAGAAACTAGTTTCTTTACCTTCAATTATGTTCAATAATTGTTAAAATGACTAAAAAAGTTAATATTAAACTTTTAAAATTATTGAATAGTATAAACTTCTTGATATTTACTAAAATAGTAAGGAATTTAAGCCCTAAAACCGATTACTGTATTGGCGGACTAATACTACAGCTGGTGAACCGCCAAATGCAAGCGAAAACATGTTGAAGTCGGCTCGTAAAAAACTTGTTAATCGAGGGATTGCTCGTTAAACGAAGTTAAGAATCTTATGGCAGGTAAATCGTTAACCGAAATCTCGTTAACCGAGGCGCTCGTTAACCGAGGGACCACTGTATTAAGGTAAGTTATTCTTCAGTATGCGTATATATAAATATTGTTATCAACAATATGTACAATATAAATATGTATGAATACATGACAGTAATGTAATTGTCTAGGTGAGTTTTAGGTCGTTATAGGGGGGTTTGCGTGACACCACGGAACCAATTAGGCTGATTTATATGTATTTCAATGTCACTTGTTTGGCAAATTTAAATTTCGCGATGCTAAAACTGGTACAGTACCAATTAGTCGCTAAACTTGAGATCCTACTGTACCAAAAAATTAAACAACACTCACCACAATGATAAACCTGGTCATCATCACATGTCCACTCTGATGCTAAGGGAACTCTTGTGGATGTTTGTGTAAGTAAAACACATTTACCTTTTACGTTATTTATTGTATTCATTCTTTAAAGTAGTAAACATCTCTCTCTCAAAAGCTAGAACATTGGTTTAACCCTTACGCCCTGGGTGACGTTCCAGAATGCCCGACCGGCGGGTCCCTGGTGATGTTCCAGAATGCACCCCTTTTCCTGCCACTGTTTAAATGCTCAGCGCGGGTTATCAGGTCCAGTTTGACTATTTGCCTGTCACGCCACACGCTCGGCCACGGAAGTTTCCTGAACTTTTGTTTGCTTCATTTTCATTGTTTGTCCATTTTGTCAAGGTGTATCACAGCAATATTGCTAAAATAGTGTAGTTGTATTGTAGTGTAGTATTACTGGAAAATAATGCTATGATTATGTTATAAATGTATTTATTTGTGGATTTATTATTCCAATAATTATTTCTATGCATTACTTGCATTACCAAACACAAAGACAGTCATGTAAGGTCATAACTCTTGGCACCTCACCTCACACCAGCAGGGTGTGTGGGAAGGAAGAGTCAGCCCCTATGATCACCCACCTTCCACCCGCCCCCTATAATATGGTGTGAATGGTGGCAACCTTTGTCATGTGAGGTCATAACTCCTGTCACCGCACATCTATAGCTTCTCAGCTTGGCAATTCTTCTGAAATGTTGACATCATGACACCAGCTGACTAAAGGCAGGTTGTTGGTGACTTAATGTAGAGATGAAATTACCTACACCTGACATGTAGGGTAGGTCACTATTCCTGGCCTGTACTGTATACTGTACCTGTACAGTATATTGAGACAAGTAGCCCAATATACCACTAGCTAGGTATATGTACACATTGAAAGGGGACAAGTTGGAATTAGTATTTGACCTGATGTGTTAAGTCTAACTTATCAGGTGATTCCTATGAGAATAAGGGGATTTGACTGAAACTGTTATGTATGCTCAGAATGTCAGACCATCCCCAAACTCTCAGCTTAATGTCTTGCTGTGCTGTATATAACTCCTCAAACTTTACCTTATGTTCCTTACTTGCTGTTTATTTCATTATAATTAGCTTCACACTTAAAAAATAAAAACCCTACATATTTAAGCTTTGGGAATGGTTGAGAGACTTTAGACACTTCAAACACTCTGTAACAATGATTTAGGAATAACTGGGTAAGTAGATTATACTGTAATTATAATATCTGTTTAGATTAGAATTTCTTAATGGATGACAGATTTAACTTATAATTTTAGTTGAAATTAAGAGTTTCCATTAAGAGACATATCTTAGGTGAAGAATATCTGCTTGGTTAAAATTAGAATTTACTAATGAGTGACATCTTTTTCAGGTTTGTCATGATTCGGTGTGATATAAACTGCAAGTGGGAGATTGTTGGTGTGGTTCAAAAGAAAGGTCCAAGCAAAACTTCAAGGCCTCATGAGCAAAAGACAAGAATAGGTTTAATGAACAAGTCGTCATCATTTGTACCCCAAGTCATTGATCTAGAAGAGGAAGAGAAGCAAAAGGAGCAAGAAAAAACAGAGAAACCTGATGTAGTTGTATTGCATTCAGAAAAGGAGAAGCCAGATGTAGTCAATGATTTGTTATCTTTAGAGAAAGATAGTGGAGCCTGGGAAGGTAGCTTACCCCTTATAACAGGTGTGCATAGTGTTTCAGATTCTAACATGGCTGAACTGATTGGATCTCCAGAAAGGGGAAGCAATGATTCAGTAGAGATGCCTCCATGTCAGAGTTCATTGTCAGAAAGTAAACAGCCTTTCACAACAAAGGCACTTCCTGACTTAGTTCCAATATTTGCAAGTTCAGTGGAAGAATATAATAGAGAAATATCACAAGTGAAGGAAAGTATGGAGGCTCAGAATGTTTTACCAGTAAGTACCATTAGTACTGGATCTTGTGAACAAGAGCAACAAGCTTATATAGCAACAACAGCTGCCAGTGCTGTAACAAAGACCACTAATTCACTGTTTACACCAGTAACCTCTACGCCAGGCATGAGAACGTTTACACTGAATCAGAGTAGTGGCCGAGTGTTTGGTGATTTGCCTGCAGAGGGTTCATCACCTTTAACCTCTCATACTGAAGCATCACCAGTACTTCCTCAAGGATGTTCACCACAGCCAGCTGTGTTGGGATCTGGTCCATCTGGGAAGTCAAGTGTCATTCCACCAAAAGTAATTCCAGGTTCCTCTCATTACATATTATCTATACCTGAAAGTAGCTCCTCAGTTAAAGATGATGCTGATAGCTCTGTATCAAGGCCAAGTGACATTCCACCTCAGAATAAGAGTCTTCTCTCACCGATTTTGCCAGCAAACACACCAGTGTGTATTGCACCACAGACAAAAGTTGGAGAGTGTAGTAGCACTGTTGTTAGCCAAAATTTAGCAGGCCCATCAATGCCCAACTCAAAAATGCTTTACATTCCAGTAAGTTCTGGATGTTTTTCAAAGATGATGTTTGTGCCAACTGTGAGTGGAATACCATCAAACCGGATGATGCTACTACCCACAATCCCAAGTGGTGGAGGTGGAGTGGACAGTGGCAAATTGAAGATGGTTCTTTTGCCATCAGCTCAGGAGAGCAATAAAATGATTCTTGTTCCATCTTCTGCAGAGAATAGTGATGTTTTGGCAGGCAATACACCTGCAACAAGTGTAACTAGTGACAGTGAAAAAAAGAAAATGTTGGTCCTGCCTCCTACTGTGTTAAGTAATCTAATCTCCAAAACACCAAATTTGGAACAGAGATCTAAAATTATGTTTCCAAGACCTACAATTATCAACGATTCTCAAACATTTCAGTCATCTTGTACAGGTACTCTTCTTGTACCCATAAAACCTGCTGGAACTGTGTCACCTAAACTTGATGAAATTGTACCATTTGGGAAAGCTGAAGATAACACTATGGGTGCAGAAGTTAATAAAGAAAGTAGTGATCAAGATAATTCTGATGATGTTGTTGTAATAGGACCAGGAACTAATAGTCTTACCATTACTCGAGTAAGAACTGCATCTGAGTCAACATTTCCAAAAACAGACTCAATCCCTAGAAGCTCTTGCACATCTCCATCATTACAGATACTGCCAACACCTCCAGTTTGTAGTGGCGGAACAGCTGAAACTAACGTTGTGTCTTCCGTAACAACAATTACAAGTACATTGCCTGGAAATCCTGTCTCGGCCAAAAAAGACTCCAGTACTGTTGAGATTCCAAGTGATGTTTCAGCCAAAGCAAAGGGAAGTGATACTCCAAATTCATCTGAAGATATGGTTATTGTCAAAACATCTTTGAATGCTATTCAATTGAATGCATTACTGCAGAGTACACACAAGGAATTACTTAAAGATGGAGATGGCTCCAGTGTTGCTCGTTCCAGTAAAACTTTGGATCCCAAAGAAGTGCCATGCAAAGAAGAAGAAAAATTATCTGAGGTTAAAAGTGATCAAGTTTCTAGTGCATCTCCTGCAATAAATGAAACTTTTGTTGCAGATAGTGAGCAGAAAAGTAGTGAAGAGGTTGAAGAAGTGGGGAGTAAACAAGTGCCAATAAAAAGGGGAGGGTACCATTGGAGTGCTGTAGATCTTTCTCTCAACTTCAAAAGTGTAAAGCTGGAATGGCTTCTTGGTACTATTAGAAAGAATGTTTTAATGAATATTTATCAGATGTCATTGCAAACAAGCTCTCCGGTTACTCTAAGTGTGAAAAATGGCACCTCCACTTCCATGCTTTATGGGTTAGCTAGAAGAGACCTTCTACTGCCAATTCTTATTTTGGGGTCTGTTGTTTCAGCTGTGATGAGCTCATCATCCACACCTAATGCCAACCTTTTTAAAGTTAATGCCATTAAATACTTCATAAGGGAAAAGACAGGAGAGCTTTCCTCATATACTTATGATATTAGTGGAGACTTTTTAGTGAAACTAGCATCAAAAAAAAGAGGAGATGGAGGAGAAATGATAGGAATTGGTGAAAAAGTTCCAATACAGAAGATGAGAGAACCAATTTGTAGTGTTAAAGATTCTAGTGCTAACACACAGTCAGGAGAGACAAATGAAGGGAGCACTGACAAAAAAAGTGCATTAGCATGTAAGTCTAAAGTGCATGATTGTAGTTGTGCTGTAGTCGGAGATTTTATATGTATGGGACACAGTGCTCCACAATGGAAGAAAAATGATTCTATGGTGTCTTCAGCAAACAATGAGTGTGTGTCCAGTAGACCTAAGTCATCATCAGATCAATCATGCACCATTCTTCAGAAAGCTGCACCATCTTCCATTTCTTCAGGTGGTGTTTCACCTCGAGAACTACCTCTCACTAAAGGCAGTAACATAAAATCATCACCAGAGGCTGGTCTACAACTTCAAGGTTGTTCAACAATGCCAGGTTCTGTTATTGATGATTCATGCCATGAAAAAGATAGCCAAGGAGAAATTTTATCAACAGATCTCAGTTCTGTTGGTAAGGATGAGGGGAAATGTGTGAGTGATAGTGAATCTGAATATGTCTGCAAAGCTGATGCCTTAAGTGACCAGGACAAACAAAAAAATACCCCTAACATTTTAGGCATAAGGGGACTAGATTTTCAAGAAGATACTTTGATTTGTTCAGCTGAAGATGAAAATGAGGATATCGACATTTTAGGTGATTTTGATATGGACTCGTCCATGTCTTCACTACTAAAAAAACAGCTGATTTATGAAACTGCTCCAGGTATGTAAAACATTACTGTCTTTGTCTTGCTTTTGAATCTGTTTTAATTGTTCCTTTTTTTATGCTTAATGGTTTAATAGGAAAATTTCAGATGTGAAAGATGAATGAAACTTGCATGATGGAACAATGTTCGTTTTGTTATGAATGTAAAATTGTAATTATTAAAGAGTAAATTAATAGATGTTCAATAATGGCAGCATTAGAAAAAAAATATTTATGAAATATACAACTAAAGACAATTGATCAATGGAGAATGGGGATATGAAAAGTATGTTTTGGCTGTGTACTGAGAATGACACATTGATGCAAGTACTGCACCTTGTATAATTTATGTGAAGCATACTGTACTTGTATCCCATGAGTTATGGAAGCTTAAGTTAATGAAATTCGTATCAACCAAATCCAAAAAGTACGCAACAAGTTTTGAAATACGGAAGAAAATTTCTGTTATACTACCAGACTGGGGGTCACTAATTCTAAGGTGGAATACTTAACTCTAATCTTAATTTCTAAGGGTCGCTGCCACCAGACCCCCTCTGGACAGCATGTAGCTCGTTAGGTAGCGGGCAGAGTGGACTAGGCATTGGGTTAGGTTTTTCATTGACCAGATCGATAAGGGGAAAGAAGGGTGAAACCACATGTCTTAGTTTTTTCAAATGTTCCTTCTACTTACTTCAGTTCATTTTTGGTACTACCTAACCTCAGTTCTTCTTGGTAGCATGTCGATGGTCTAGGCACATGGGTATTGTAATTCTGATATCATGGTCACTTGGACGGAAATAAAGGTAACTACTGTGGGCGAAATGAATACTACTCCTAAAATACTTAAAGAACAAGTTTATTACTATAAAATCAAACTACCAGGCTCAACTCCTGGGCTTATTGCAGACTCCGTATTTCTTATTTACAGTCTTACCGTGCACAACCTTACTGGTGTCACATTACATTACATAGCAGGACCAGTTCCTTGTCCTTACTCACAATACACTAATACTGATACAAACACCGACATGGGTCCACCACCCAACATGGGGTAATTATTAACAAACACATACAACCACACTGTGGACCATAACTCCAAGGCCTGTCCCAGGGTATAGCACTGGCTCCTCTAACAACTACTGTTGTGGTCGGTTACACTCCGACACGAGGTGGGTCTGGGGTCCTCGGCCCACGAGGTAGAGTGGAGCTGATAAATCATGCCGAATCAGCACCATCACTCCTATACTGGCCACTGCTGGGTATCCACCGGCTCCAAGCGACCGGTGGGTTTCAATTAAGCCTGCCCTTGATCTGAGAACGAAGGTGAAAGATGATACGGGAGGTTTTTTTGGGAAGCATGGTGGGTTACAATCAAATCTTTAGTCTCGCCACGTCAAATATGTACGTTATATTACTTCTTACACTGGGTGCATGACAATTCCACTGTTAGAGCATGAACACTGATGAACACTGATATTCACTACAATAGACTGGATCAAACTAAATGGTTATAAACACAGAACATACCTGAGAACGAAGGTGAAAGATGATACGGAAGGTTTGTTCCTCCCGCCTCGCACTGGTTTATATACCCATGAGTTGCCAGCGATCGCTACTCACGCAATGACAGAATTTACAAACAATCTAACTGTTACTCATTCAAGGATGACCCTCAGTTGACAAGGGTCTGATGAATTACTAAAGTTGATTTACACAGATTAATTCAAGATTGCATTTGCCAGTAGAGAATGGAATAAACGTAGTGACAACTGTGTTCGAAGGCAGGAGTTACTGGGAGTGATCCTGAGTGTAAAACGGATGGGAAAAACACGTCTCTCCTGAGATTCTACAAGTGCGATGGATTTGAATATTATGTAGCGTAATATGAATTAAAGTGGATTTTTAGGAATGACAATGATGTGCACAGTACACTGTTGGTCAAAAATCTTATGGAATATGGGAAAATTTTTAAATCTTGCCAACCTTCAATATTTCACTTAATATAAAATAGAATGCGTAATACTGTACTGTATATAAATCCATCTAAAACTACAGATAGACCTCTTTTAACAGCCCCATCTAAAATATGTTTGCTTAACCTCTAGGTGGGGTGGGGGTAAATCAGGTTTAAAAAATAATACTGCACAGGTATAATAAATGTAATAGTAAGAACATTATGCTTTATCTTAAAAAAATCGTCAAACATAGACTAGCCAATGAACATGTCTGCAATCATCTTTATTTACAACCTCTAATTCAAATACACGCTGATCAAATCAGCATGATCAGCCTGCCAAAATTTGCAGCAGTTCCATCTCTTTACTCTTTCTTTTTTCAGTCTCTTGCATGTGTTAAGTAAAAATATTAGGTCCATATCTGAAGAAGTCTGAAAATAAGAGTGATGGTAAAGCAATGAAGGTGACCAGGAAAGACATTAGTATGGATGTGAAAATGTAGCTTAAGTGATATGGAAGGATGAGTAAATGCACAGGTAGGCAGATGCTCACCTGTGAGATGCTGTTTCCTCACCAATAAATATAACTATTTGTAAGGAATGTGCTGATAAACACATTTTTTTTTTAGTAATTAAATGGTTTGTGATAGGTTTTTGTCATTGTGGCCACTACTTCAAGATGCTCCCAAAATGCATTTCCAATAAACAACAAAAGTCAGTGGGGAAATGGGATTGAGTCACAGATAATTCAGGAATGTAACTCTTCTGTAACTTGAGGATGCCATATCATGAATTATAAGTGAAAGAAAATTAAAACAGTAAAGTGAAGGATAGTGTATGTAACATGTGTTAGCAACATTGTGGCAATTTTTTTACTAAAGAGATATAGCATCTGTACAGGGGGGTGTACTGAATATGTACTGTACAGTAATATCTCCATTAGCCGGACTCCCTCAAACCCGGAACTCTCCAATAGCCGGAATTGAAATTTGCTCGGAATTTTTCCAGAAAACTCCCTAAATTCCGGGTTTGAGAACAAATTCCGAGGTTGAAAATCAGGAGCATTTTCTGATATTATAATTAAAAAAAATGGAAAATGTGCTTAGGGCCTGGGGACAAGGGATCCCGGCATTATGAATGATTGCATCATGTTTAGCCTCATCCTCACATGGTTGGTGTGTGGGTGAGAAGACCAGCCACTTGGGTAACGCTGGATTTTTCTGCTCGTGGTCTATATATAATTACCTATACTATGCATATATAAACATTTCTTTAAATGTACATACAATACTAAAAAGGTAAAATAATACAGTAATAAATCAATGTACCTGTAGTTCTGAGCTGAGCTAATGAGGCAAAGGGTGAAGTGACAGAGTCAGGTGATTACAGTAGGTGACTGAGTCAGGTGGTGAGGTGACAGGCCAGGACACTTACACAGCACACACATTAACAGCACTGCTAAACCATTGTCTTATAACATTTTACTTTGCCTTATAATTTCTATTTTAAAATTAATTTATACATGATGGCTCGATCTGGCTACTTTTGCACTTAAACGACTGATCAGTGAATAAACCAGAACATATGGAGATACATTATATACTAGTGATTTCACGAAGCTTCGCAACTGCAACCGCAACTGCTGAGCAACAGCATAAATTATCACAACCTGTACTAAGTTAATTTCTAAATTTTTATGTCTTGTGCAAACGATGGGATGTTTGTTTTCAAACTAATCACTATCTTGCAAGAATTCCAGCAATTCTGCTCAAAATTATGGCTTTTTCACAGGAAAAAGTCCCTATACTGGTAACTAGCCTCACTGGTCAGGATTTTATGGTATCGAATGTTACAGAGTATTTCAAATAAAATCTTTGTTTAGTTCTGTACATAGAGATTTGAGGATAGAAACTGTAATAATTTGAGCTTATTAATACCAGTACCCTTCATATACAGTATAATACTTATTTTTGTTCAAGCTCTGAATGCGACGTCAGCAAATGCTACCTAGGTATGTTATTTCCTAGCCAATTCGCCTGGCCAACATACAGGCAATTAAAACATCTAATAATGCTTTTTTACCTTATTATTCGGCTTGTCATCTAAGGATATCATATTGGAAACGTCGCATAGAGAATTTATTCAGAATCACACACACACACACACACACACACACACACACACACACACACCCACCACACACACACCCACCCACCCACACACACACCCACCCACCCACCCACCCACCCACCCACCACACACCCACCCACCCACCCACCCACCCACCCACCCACCCACCCACCCACCCACCCACCCACCCACCCCACCCACCCACCCACCCACCCACCCACACACACACACACACACACACACACACACACACACACACACACACACACACAAAAGGAAATTAAGACAGGAGTGGGGGTCTTATTGTATGACAAATTTGCGTGTGTGTGTGACTACGTGGTAGCCAGTTAAATAGCAGCTGTTGAGGAGCTCTTGGCAACACTTACTTTCACTCCATCTCTCTATTCACCCACACCTTTCTGCTTTCTAACTACAACTTTGCTCATTTATACTTATCACAATATCACTCGAAACACTTCAGGTTTTGTGTTTATTCAAGACATCTTCAGGTTATGAGACCCACTAATCCCCCACCCAAGAAAGGGTGACCTGATATTCCATCAGAAGGTCAGTAATATGTGACCACTAATCCCCCACCCTACCTCCACCTGACATTGTGTCAAGTCAGGTCAGTTACATGAGACCCACTAATCCCCCACAGCTCCATGGGAGTGGAAAATGCCAGTCTTTGCTGTAACACACAGCTTCATTCATGCCCGTATCATATAGATTTTAAATTTTAAATATATTTATTTAACTAAACTTTTAGATAAACTATTCTGGATTATTATCATAAAGAAATGGAGTTTGTAACTTAATTAGAACTGCATTTACAGACTCTGGTAGTTTAGGTTTAAGGAAAACATCCCCAGCACCCAGAAACGTTCTGGGGAAGTGGGCTACTGCCCATCTTTTCCCAGTAACCAGAAAAGATTCCTGGGATAAGGAATTTTCCGGGTTTGAGAAAGTCATCTGGTTGGCCAGAAATCCCTCATCTTGGGAAGTGCTCTATATCAATTGTTCCGGCTAATGGGGATATCACTGTGTTTATATACTGTATATAGTAACCATTTCACTGTGAGGACATATTATTTGGCTCACACCAGATGATCTTATTCAGCTCAGAGGGGACCCCGTACACAATATTGTAGGTTAGTAGACTGTCTCCAACATTCCCCTCTCTATGGAGATTTCCACTCATAATATTTTATTTGGCCAATGCTAGATGATATTATTAAGGTTATAGGGGCTCTGTCTTAAGCAAGAAATCATTTTGGTGCATTAAGGTTTCTCATATATTCAGAAAATGTGTTATGTACATTATTTTATAAAGAAAGTAACCAATTGATTTTGGTCTTGCATGTCTTATACATAAAAAGAATGACAAAATAAATTGTGCCAACTTCAGGGGATCATATTAGTATCCACTGTACAGCATATAGTAATGTACTGACAAAAGTCATCTCAAAATGGGGAATGAAATTCTAGTTTCAGAAAGGGTGGGTCAACCATAAACCAGCTGTTTATTCTTTTTCAACTCATAGAAAAATATTTATAATAGAACAAGTTATCATGACTGTATCAGAGCATTGACAAAGTGATTTGATCAAGGTTACTTACCACTGAAGATGGTATACAGTAATGAGGAGATGAGTGAAAGAGAGTTAAGGGAAACGAAAAGACCACCATTGATTACCAACGGCTACAATGAGTAGTAGTTAATTTGGCCAGAGTGGAGAGGAAAGATTGGCCAGAGAGTGTTGTAGAGATACTATAGAGAGATGAAGGCCAATTAGTTACTAAGAGAATGTGGAAAGGACATGAGGTTGCCTAACCTGAAAAGTATGCAGTACTAGATAAGGGATGATGCAAAATATACCAGACCAGAAAGGCCTGATATACTGTAAATGGTAAGGGGCCAATTGGAGGCCCAATAGCCAACAGAGTAAGTAAGTACATGGTGTATTATTATTCAAAATACTGTACTGTATAGATAATTATTATACGTGTTTGTCTTTTGAGGTTGTCATTACATTTACTTACAGGTCCAAAAACAAAAGGAAATCAAGCTAGAACTCCTGGAGAGGTGGCCAAAAATTTGCTAAGCATGCAAGGATCTAAACGCAAGATTGGTAAGTTTATTTTAAGCTTGAACTTGTCTTGTCATTCATAATAATATTTCATAAAAAATATTAGTTGTTATTCACATAATAGCATACTATAGCTTAGGACCTTTTTCTTCGAGTCATGAGAGTAACACTGTATTTCTGTGTTTGCAGTACATAATTCTGAATAAGAGGGACTCTACCCATGCTGAGATAAGGCAAATTCCAAATTTTGTATGCAATAATGCCACCAATGAAGTCAATTGACAATTTACTGTAGTTTATATTATCAGCTGTTTTTTGTATGCAGTTTTAGTGTTTAACAACAATAATTCAGTTCAGCCAATAAGGTGGGTTAGGTGAGTTTTTATTATTATTATTACTATACAGTACACTTGGTAAAGAAAGTATCTACAAGGTGGGGTCTGATGGATGTTCAAAATGAACACTGCTACTCCTGTTGTCTCAGTAGGGTTGTCAAAATCCTTCGTCTGTTGTGTCATATTGTCGAGCAAAATTTTTTGAAGATACAGTACTTTTTGTAGCAAGTGTACACTCACTAAAAGATTATTCTGCACCTTTACGGGGTTATACAATTTGACACACCAGACCAAGAAATCTGATAGCACTCATCACGGCTTCTGTCGCGGTGATTGTTGCGGGTGGTTTCAGAGCCAAGGGTGCAAAATATTTTTTTTTGTGTACAGTACATATTACTGAATAATAACAAAGATGTCGTTCAACATTAAGGTATAGTACATTACTAGGGAAGGTGAGCCCCATTGTCATTGTGCCTCTTCACCAAACTACTGAATGAGTGTACGAGGTCTGTCCAAAAAGAAACTGAACTTTTTAAATAGCGCGCCAAGAAGCCGGCGCAGCGCGCTTGCGACGGGAGCGCTGTGTAGCGGTGACCTTGACCTTTAGTCTAACACTAGCTGCATCACGCCACATCAATTAGTCATTGAGCTACACGTGCTAGATTGAACGTGTGTTTAGTGCACTTGGCGATTGTTGCAAGTTGAACAATGAAGGATCTTGAAGAGCAACGTGTTTGCGTGAAATTCTGTTTCAAATTGAGAAAAACTTTTAAGGAGACTTTTCAAAAGTTGCAACAGGCTTATGGGGAGGATTGTTTGAGCCGTATGCAATGTCACGTGTGGTACCAGCGTTTCAAAAGGGGAAGAACATCCACCGAAGACGATCCCAAATCTGGACATGAGAGTCGCTCAAATGTGGAGGTGATGTTAATCGTCATTTTTTATTGGTAGGGCGTCGTTCATCGTGAGTTTGTTCCACGTGGTCAGACAGTCAATAAAGAGTTTTACTTGGAGGTCCTGAAGCGTTTGAGGAAGGCAGTGCGAAGGAAGGGGCCTGAGGCGTGGACAAACAAGACCTGGATGCTGCACCATGACAATGCACCTGCTCACGCATCGCTCCTTATCCGTGACTTTTTGGCGAAGTACGAGACGACTATCGTCCCCCAGCAACCCTACTCTCTGGATTTGGCCCCTGCGGACTTTTTTTTTTTTCCCAAAGTTGAAATCCACCCTGAAAGGTCGCCGATTTCAGACGATAGAAGGGATAAAAGAAAATTCGCTACGAGACCTGCGCGCCATCCCTCAAAACGCGTTCCAGGACGCGTTCCAGAACTGGAAAAAACGTTGGGAGTGGTGTATCAACAGTGGAGGGGAGTACTTTGAAGGAGACAGGTCTGATTAATTTGTAAGTAAAGAAATAAGAAAAAAAAATTGAAAGTTTGGTTTCTTTTTGGACAGACCTTATACAGGTATCCGTCGTTTAGTGCTCAGGATACGTTCCTGTAAAACAGAGTGCAAAGTGAAATGATTGCTTAGCAACCAGAAACGAGAAATAATATCCTAAATAAGGAATAACGAGGAATAATACCTGTAGATATGGCACGTAAATGTGTAGCTAAGTCGCCGACTCGCCACCCAGTAGCGCTCAGAGCAGGTGAGGCTAAACTGTGAGCTATTTTATTGTTCAACTCATAATTTTGGGTAGATGTACTGTACTTAATTTTCTTCATTTTCTTTTACATGCACACACAATTGTTCATACAAAAACTGCAAACAAAATAAAAAATAAGTATCATAAGATCAAAAACATTAAGGGAATAAACAGTTCTTAATGTGGTCGACAGTTAGCCAACAGAGCGGGGTAAAGGGAGCAGAGAGGACTGGGGGATCTCTCAGTTGTTCTCTTGTACTGTGCCCAGTGAAATGATTGCCACATGCCAACACAGTATTTCTTCTTTAATTCATTTATTATTATTTTTTATTTATTCATTCCTCACATTTACTGGTACAGTATACACACGACGCAGTTCATCTGGGCAGTCACCAAGCTGAGTCAAGAGACATATGGCGGCTGTCTGTTTGCCGTGATGTCACATATGAGGGACAATTTTCAAATTAGTTTAAATATATGATGTTCTTTGTCGCTGTTTTTTGGGTTATGTGATCATAAGTTATGTAGTTGTCAGTGATCGTGGGCATTCACATTATTTGATTATAAATTTTTAAAAAATCTACATACTAGACATACTTCACTTATTTAACATTACAAATCTTATATCTGTATCACACATAACAATAGGGTACATTGTCTCATCCATCACTATTATGCAAATCTGTATAAGGACACAATTGTTTTATTACACCAGAAGCCTGCTAACTCTGCAGCAGTGCATCATCCTTCCTCCCATTATAAGTAAATGCTCAGTTGAAGTTTGACTCCCCCCTCCCCCTGCCTTTCATATATCTGGTTCTCTCCCAGTTTCCCCTCCATTCTGTCTTGTGTCCTCTTTTTCCACTTTCCCTCCCTGTCTCTATCTCCCACTTTTCCTATCCTCCCTCCCTTCCCACCCCATCGCCACTAGATAATTGATGGTTAATGTTACGTTTCAGATGCTGTTTCTAAAAGTTATGAACGCCCATGTCCACGCTCCAAGAAACGTATCCGGAAGACCCAGGTAAGCTAATGAGGTAGAATGTTAGTACTGTATATGTGATAAGATGACATATATTCAAGCTGAGCTTAGCTAATATACCATGGATAAAAATGTATAAAATCTGTAATTTATTTATTTAAAAAGAGGTTGGATGACTGGTCTGCTTTTAAATACAGTAGTTGTAAGTTATAGGTGGATGAAAAAATTGGAGAGCATAAACAAGAAGGTGAATGATAATTAAGTTTACTTATTACTTTACCCATGAATAAGGTTGGTAAATTGCAAGATAGATGTACATACATTGTACAAGGATTTACAAACAGGTATCCCTCGCTTAACGGATGGGTTAAGTTCTTGAAAAACATTCTTTAAGTGAATTTTTGTATTTCGATTAACAGAGCATATGTGGAAAAAATAGGCTTCGGTTTTCCAATGAGAAGAAAACACCAATATCACACCCCAAAAACACTAAAATTGGTTCTCAAAAAAACAACAACAACAACATAACTACCTAGCTCATTAAAAACATTAATAAAATACAGTAAAACTTTGGTAAAACTTATGGGAGGGCAGTCAGGGCTCACCATAAGGGGGGTGAAGAGGAGTGGGCTGAGTAAGGGCCTTATTCAGCAAGATGAGGAGGGCTGTCCACCTTATCACTGCTGTCTGCCAAAGACACTTAAGTTCACACCAGAGGTGGAAGGAGTGAAAGAAAATCTGATAGTAAAGGGAGTGGGATTGCAAGCTGAAGATGCAGGATGCGGTTTGAAGATGGTGATGATTTTGAAGGAGGAGGATATGCCGAGTTGTCTTGCCTTGCTCCTCAGCTGATGTTCTCTCTCTCCTCACTAAAGGCAACTGCACCACTCCTTTCCATACAAGGGTCTTAAGCATGGAAAACTGAAACCCTTTATGAATGAGGTCAAGGCCCTCACTGACAACCTTGAGAGTGAGCTGGATCTCAGCTAGGTTTTCTGGCTGGTCTTCTTCTCCTTGAAGCCTCTGCTGCTGGAGCTGCACAAGTTCTTAGTAAGAGTAAGGTCCTGTCCACTTCCTCAAACCCAGCCTCCTGAGAAGGGTTAACAATGTCCTGCTGCACCTGTCTAATCACCAAATCCTGCAAAATCATGCACGTTCAGGTCAAATCTTGCGCCACATGTAATTTTCATTCATTGTTTGCTGTGACACCTTCTTCCAAGACACATTGATGTGGCCGATGGCTCTCTTAAGGTTAAAGGTCTTCCAAAATTCCTTGATGCTGATCTGGTTATGTTCAGTCTGGCGCACAAGTTTCTGCAATCTTCTCCTGAGCAATGAAGGTACGTTACAACATACTCTTATAAAACAGCCCAGTCTCGTCGATGTTGATGACTTGTTTGGGCGAGTAACCACCTTCCTGAATATTCTGCTGAAGAAGTTTTGGGAAGTGCATGTGCAGCTTCAGCATTGGCATTTGTAGCTTCCCCAGTCAACTTCAAGTTGTGAAAATATGCCCGACGCTTGAATGCCTCAAATCACCAAGAACTAGTCACTTACAAAGGTAACCTGGTCAGGTCCAAGGTCCATCCTGCAACCTTTCCCACAAAGAAGCCTTCTCCCTGAGGATGAGGGTGAAAGGGGGGAGAGCCACGTGAAACCGAGTCTTTTATCTACAGCTGGAGAAGATACTCCATGTTGTCTGTGACAGAGTCACGACTCTGGGTTAACCTGCTTGCTCCTATACACGTGATGTTTTCAGCTGCTTGCTTGATCTATTCACCGTGCTTGTAGATTGTAGCAACAGTAGAAGCAGCGAAACCAAGATGTTTCTTGATCATTTTAGGACCCTCACCATGTTCATGATGTTTTATTACTTCCAGCTTGGACTTATGCGTCTCAGCCTTTCATATAATTTTTGGTGTAGTACGGGTAGCTGAAGAATCAGTAGAACAATTGGGTGCCACAACAAAAGAATAGCAAAAGGATGGCATGAATACACACGGACAAAGAAAGAGCACTTCCCACACAACAAATGGCTGAAGGAAAGATGTGGGAGATACAGGAGATTTGTTACGTTCATTGAGCAAGACTACATCTCTGTACATCTCTCCAAGATGGCCGCCCCAGCAGACTCCCGGGGGACGTGATTTTAATTTTTGCTGGGACCAAAATTCATATAAGTGGGGGAAGCTTTCATTAAATTAAAAAGAGATGTTAATTTAGGAAATTCATAGAAGCGAATTCCCTTATCGCAAACATTTGTTAAGCGAGGGATACCTGTAATTATAAATATGTTTTTGTCAGCTGGTATAATGTTACAGTTAATTTACACTGTTCTATGCAATTGTACAGGCTAGAGGAGCTTTGTCTCCAACCACTCATTTGGTTGATCCACCAGAATTAGAGGCTCTCAAAATACCAGGAACTAAAACAGGTGAGACCTCACTTGACTTATCAGCCCGCTGGCCAACACACCTGGCTCATCTACGGCAGTCCCCAGCAGAGTTGGATGTTATATCAGATGATGAACCCAAGCCTGGACCTTCCAGTTTAAAAACACCTTTAAAACCTAGATTCGTGCTAGTCCAAGGCAAATCAAGGTCAGGAAAAGGTATTGCTCGATTACAAAAAAAGGTGAGACAGCTGAACATTTATTAGAATGAGTGTTTATATGATATAAAATTATTGAAGTATAGAATATGGTATACATTTTTGTTACTCTTCACAACTATGTACTTAGCAGGTATTGCTTAATGTTGGTGTTTTTCTCTAGAAAACTAAAATCATAGACGTGGAGAGTATCACAGAAGAACGCAGTGCTGTCATTCACAACGAATTAGAAAGGATGCGAAGACGAGTGATGCGCCACTTATTTGATAATCTTCAGGAATGTGTGTCTTATGTGCCAGCTAGTCCTTTAATGGGTGAAACTGTTGCTCAGCCAAAGATCACCATCCTTAGCTCAGTAAGTCAGTGTTGTTGTCATGATGTGTAAATGGTACATATTAGTAGTTTGATTTACAAGTAATACTTGGTAGTGCTTTAGATTGCTAGTTTGCCAATATCACTCTTGCAGTCTTAACTTTTTGTTGATGGAGTCTGCAGAAAACTGTAGGATTATTTCAAGTAGTAGTTTAAATTCATTTCTACTAGCACTAGTAGTAGGAATGCAAAAACCTTTGAACTAATTGTTTTGAGACTTTGTGTACCCAATTATTACAATGTAACTGTGACGTTAATACATTGGCAGTATACTATACAACATGTTCTCTTTGTCTTACTTGTCTTATGTTATGTGTGTAGTAATGCATTTTACCAGTACAGTTAATGTTTATTGTATTTACCACCTTCTGCATGTATATCAGTGTGTCAGTGAGGACAGGTTGATACAGTACGTACAATTATGTCAGTACAGTACATCAGGCTGTTATCTTTTAGTGTGTCAATAAATTTGCAAGATTCTTACTAAGCCTGTGGACAATGTCATGATTTACTGATACTACTCTAGCATACTGTATCATCCTTCTCTCGCTAAGATACAAAGTAGTACTGTGCATCACTTCACCAGACTAATTTTTGCATTGAAGGGTTAGTAATTCTTTTTACCTTCAGGTACAATATACAGTATTTGTACATTTTATTATAAACCCACCAGAAAAGATATTTACCGTATTTTTCGGCATATAAGCCGAAGTTGTAAGCCCCCAAAAATCATGGGGTCGGCTTATACAGCAGATCTAGATCATTAACCTTAAAAATTTCTGGTGCATAGCACCAAGACTCACTATTTAATATTCACAAACTTCAATGTGACTGACCAATCAGTTGTTATGCTCTTTCTGAGAACCCATATGTAAAACAACTTTGAAATACAACTGTTATTATAAAGACATGAACTGAAATGACCTAAAATACTAAAATAATAGAAATACTACAACAGCGACATGACACGACTGTTGTTTACAACTCACTATTACTGGCGTGGTGGCTTGATCAGCTGTTATTCATCCCAAGGACATTAGTGTAAAAGAAAGTGTTGAAATACAAAATCTTTATTTAAGACATGGTTGAAAAAAGACATCAGTAAAAATGTTAAAATACAATATAGAATTGAAATGGTTTAGAATCCTTCAAAATCTTCCTCTGAACTAGTGGTTCCTTCCGGTGAATTCCAGTCCCCCGACTCGGCTGTGGCTTCGGGTTCATCGTCATCTTCCCACACCACGTCATCCTCCTCACCATCCAGAGAATTGGATATGCAACATTTTTTTTAATGATTTTACTACTGTTTCTGTTTTTATGGCATTCCAAGAATCTATCACAAATTCTCACAGCAACTCAGTGGCGCAGCTTGCATATTTCCTCCTTTTGTGAAGGTTTTCTCACCTTCAATCATCCACTTGTACCACCTATCTGTAACTCTGTCCTTGAAAGGTTTATTAAGGCATACATCAAGAGGCTGAACAACAGATGTTAATTCAACAGGTATTACTGCAGTATCTGTGTTATGTTTTTTCAAACATCTTTTCACTGGCTCAGTCAAGTGAGACCTGAACATATCCCACACTAGCAAACTACACTCCTTCCTCAGTCCACCTGCCCTCCTACTCCAAATGTGTTCTAACCACAGCCTAACTCCTTCTTCGTCCATCCAACCATTCTCATGCACGTGCACATACACCCCCGCCGGGAACTTAACTTTTGGCATTGTTTTCCGCTTAAAGATAATCATGGGTTTCAACTTTGTTGCATCTGCCATACAACTCAAAACCACTGTGAAGCGTGCTTTTTCATGTCCAGTCGTGCTTCCACCGTTCGATTGCTGGTCATATCAAAGTTCAAAGGAGTTTCGTCCATATTCCCGATACAGGTTAGAGGGAAATTGTGGTTGCACCGTATTTGAATAATGTATCATTGAAAACATGTGATTTTGCTCTCCGGGTCACTGGGTAACTTCTGTGCGAGTTTAGTTTTCTCTCTTAATACTAATCCTTTTCTATTCATAAAACGACTACACCACCCTCTTGTTGCCTTGAAGTCTTTACAGGTGTCTGGATTTAACTTGGCCAGCTTTATTGCGTAAATACATATGGTGTTCCTGGTGATGACGTATCCACTCTCTCAGTTCTCGTTGACCCACTCGAATAATTTCTCCTCCAGTTCTGGCCACTGTTGTTTACCTCTTCTCAGGGCACATTTTGTTCTGGGGATGTCTATTAACTTTTCTTCAGCCTTCTTCCGCTCTCGAACCTGCTTCTCGTTAACGCCGAATTCTCTTGCAGCTGCCGAGTTGTTTGATTCCTTTGCAAATCTTACAACTTTTAACTTGAACGATGCATTGTATTTCATTCGTTTTGCGGGTGGGGCCATTTTTACCATAAGGTTTAAAGACAACCACCTCATAGATATGGAAAAAGCTAAGTGGAGAGAATGTGGTAAGCAGATAAGAGGTCGACTATGAAGGCGAGTCAGTGCAGTATCGAACATCAAACCGCTTTTAACGGTAAGGCTCACAGTGAGTCGAGTTTGGGGGTCGGCTTATACACACGACATCAGCCTAGAACTGATATTTAGGCTAAATATTCGGGGGTCGGCTTATACGTCGGGTTGGCTTATACGCCGAGAAATACAGTAGATATAAATCTTCAAAGCATTTTATAATCTGACAGCTTACAAAATGTTTGTCCATTATTTTCCTGGTGTTACTTTTGAAAGAAAATAACTTCCAAAGAATCCCAGGTTCAGTTTTAAGATGTCGCGACATGCAGGTATCCAGTAATTAGGTATACGCATTCTCATTTTCATTACCCATGTACAAGATCTATTTTCTTGTATATATACCTGTACAGGATATATTTTCTTAAGGGTATCCTTGCACAGGATATATTCTTCTCATTATACACTGGAAGGTTTAATCATACCACAGTACTATACTTGAAATAGCTAGTTGCCAACAGTTGTTAACACTTCTGTCTATGTAGAGCATAACTTATTTGTCACAAGACCTGTTCTGTCTACCCATTTGTAATAAAGTATAAGCGCAATAATATATTAATATCTTATAGACACAGTTCAAGTGAAGGCTTTATTCATTTTATTTTTCACACCATTACACTGAAAACTCAACTCTTGCAGGCACAAAAAGTGTGTGAAGGTCTGAGAAAGGAAGAAGCTAAACTCTGGTCCCAAGAAGAGGAAATTAGAAAAGAGAGAAGCCTTTTGATAAAAAAATTGGCATCTGTTATTGCTGGTAAGAGCACCCTACTTCATTTTCATAATTTACATCAAGTGATATAGCAACTGTTATAGCTCGTAGGATTTTACTGCATTTACATTATCCTTTTAATTTGCAGTTAAGTTTTTTGTTACAGTATGATGCACTATTCGTAGAAGGGGAAAAAATGGTAGATTTTTTTTTTTTTTTTTGTACAAAATATTCCTATAAAATGAAGTGCTGCTTATGAACAATGCTGGATTATATGAAGTGACAGGGGTCAACTAGATTGGTATTTGGGACATGGATTTGAATTTAAAGTAACATTGCTGAATACATCAGTTACAATAAAGTATAAAATATAACTAAGAATATAGTACTATAATACATGAATAACAGTTGATGAAGGGCAAGTCTGTGTGTGAGTTTTTGATGATTCCAGCCATCCTGTATTACAGTGGGAGAAAGGTTGAAAGAGAACTTACACTCGCATTCACTCTATCACTATATATAAATACATATAGTAGTTTATATGTAGTTTATTCTTGGTTAATGTATAACTGTAAATTGATTTAGTAATTTTCCTTTCAGAGACCTCAGAAGATACAAGACTTAAGTGGAGACAGTGGGTTCGAAATAATATGCAGAATCCAACTGCAAGACAA